AGTGACAGAAATTATTTAATTAAAAAAGGTAGCTTAAATCTCATGAATTTTTATTTTTTATTCCATGGGGTTCCCGCATCAGAAGACCTGTTCTACACAAAATAAAGTTCTCCATGAAGAATTGCCTCTGCTCCCCAAGCTAGTTCTAAAAAGAGTTATAATATAATATCCGAGAACCAAATGCCTTCTCCAGATGCTAGAATCCAAAAGACAAATAGCATGCTAATAAATAGAATTGGATATACTTATTTCTTTTAAGTCTTTGGTACACTATACATTATCTCTGCTAGTTTTCTGTGAGTCCTGAGAGATTATATTGCTATTCTAGACTCAGGATGTGAACTTTTTCTTTTTTCACTTTTCTGCCTTAGTGTTTCTGTTGCTTTCTTGCAATACTGACTTGCCCAGACCATACTGAAGGCTCACCAAAGGCTCAGTTCGTAAACGTCATGGCAATGTTGGAGCAAACAGGAACGGGCTCCATGCTGGTGTTATGACCTGAGTTCTCTAGGAACACAGAGAGTTAGAAAACAAAGTCTCTCTTTCAAAGTGATTTTGTAATCCTTGTTTTTCTTGTCCTCTGGTAGAAAAACCCTTGTATAATTGAGTTTGGTTCTACTTAACAAACCTGCCATATGCCAAACACCAAATGAATGAACGATTAAAGAGTGCTGATGAGAAGAAAGCCCAGACCTGCCATCACAGAGCTGAGTCTTACGGGGCACAGGCAGATTACTAAGCTTTGCAATCAAAAGGACAGGTGGAATGATAGAAGTTTGATTGAGAAACCAAGGAAGCAGTGGTAACTGCTCTTTTGAGAGTTCTCGGTTTCCTTATGGGCACACATCATTTTATTATGCTTCACTTCATTGAACGTCGCAGAGATTGTGTTTTTTACAAATTGAAGCTTTGTGGCAACCCTACATTGATCAAATCTATTGGTGCCATTTTTTTTTCCAACAGAACATGCTCACTTTGTATCTCTGTGTCACATTTTGGTAGTTCTCATAGTACTTAAAATGTTTTTGTTGTTTTTATACCTGTTATAGTGATCTGTGATCAGCAATCTCTGATATTACTATTGTAGTTGTTTGGGGGCACCACAAACTGTGCCCATGTAAGACAGGAAAGTTAATTGATGAATGTTGTATGCTTTCTTACTGCTCCAGTGACAAGCCATTCCCCATCTCTCTCCCTCTCCTTGGGCCTCACTATTTGCTAAAACACAATAATATTGAAGTTAGACCAATTAAGTCCCTGCAGTGGCCTCTACGTGTTCAAGAGAAAGGAAGAGTCACAAGCCTCTCACTTTGTATCAAGTTAGAAATGATTAATCTTAATGAGGAAGGCATGTTGAAAGCTGAGATAGACCAAAGACTGGGCCTCTTTCAACAGTTAGCCAAGGTGTGAATGCAAAAGAAAAGTCCCCGAAGGAAATTAGAAGTGCTACTCCAGTGAATACATGAATGATAAAAAAGAAAAACAGCCTTATTCCTGACATGGAGAAAGTTTTAGTGGTCTTGATAGATCAAACCAGTCATCACATTCCCTGAAGCCAAAGCCTAATCCAAAGCAAGACCCACACTGTCTTCAATTCTATGAAGGCTGAGAGAGGTGAAGAAGCTGTAGAAGAAAAGTTTGAAGCTATCAGAGGTTGATTCCTGATGTTTAAGGAAAGAAGCCATCTCCATAATATAAAAGTGCAAGGTGAGGCAGTAAGTGCTGATGGAGAAGCTTCAGCAAGTCATCTAGAAGATCTAGCTAAGATCATTGACGAAAGTGGGTACACTAAACAACAGATTTTCGGTGTAGACAAAATGGCCTCCCATTAGAAGAAGATGCCATCTAGGACTTTCATAGCTAGAGAGGAGAGGATTTACAGCTTCAGAGGACAGGCTGATTCTCTTGTTAGGGGCGAATGCAGCTGGTGACTTTAAGCTGAATCCAATGTTCATTTACCATTCCAAAAATTTCAAGGTCTTTAAGAATAATGCTAAATCTACTCTGTCTGTCCTCTGTATGGAACAGCAGAACCTGGATGACAACACATTTGTTTAAAGCATGGTTTACTGAATATTTTAAGCCTACTGTTAAGACCTACTGCTCAGAATAAAAATGTCTTTCAAAATATTACTGCTCATTGACAATGCACCTGGTCACACAAGAGCTCTGATGGAGATGTACAATGTTATTTTCATGCCTGCTTACACATTAATTCTGCATCCTATGGATCAAGGAGTCATTTCAACATTCAAATCTTATTATTTAAAGAACACATTTCATAAGTCTTACAGCTGCCATAGGTAGCGATTCCTCCGATGGATCTGGGAAAAGTAGATCGAAAACCTTCTAGAACAGATTCGCCATTCTGAAATGCCATTAAGAATATTCATGATTCATGGGAGGATGTCAAAGTATTAATATCAACATGAACAGGAGTTTGGCAGAAGTTGATTCCAGCCCCCATGGGTGAATTTGAGGGGTGCAAGACTTCATGGGAAGGAGTAACTGCAGATTTGGTAGAAACAGCAAGAGAACTAGAATTAGAAGCAGAACCTGAAGATGTGAATGAATTGCTGCAATCTCATGATAAAATGTGAACAGATGAGGAGTTGCTTCTTATGGATGAGCAATGAAAGTGATCTCTTGAGATGGAATCTACTCCTAGTAAAGATATTGTGGATGTTATTGAAATGACAACAAAAGATTTAGGATATTACATAAACTCAACTGAGCACCAGGTTCTGAGAGGGTCAACTTCAATTCTGAAAGTTCTACTGTGGGTAAAAAGCTATCGAACAGCGTCACACGGTACAGAGAAATCTTTCGTGAAAGGAACAATCAATTGATGTGGCAAATTTACTTTTATCTTAGTTTAAGAATTGCCACAGTCATCCCAACCTTTAGCAACCACTACCCTGATCAGTCAGCAGCCATCAGCATCGAGGCAAGACCCTTCACCAACAAAAAGAGGATGACTCGCTGAAGGCTCAGATGATTGTTAGCATTTTTTAGCGAGAAAGTATCTTTTAATTAAGGAATGTACATTGTTTTTTTAGACATAATGCTATTGCATCCCTAATAGGTTACTACTGTAGTGTAAACATCACTTTTGTATGCACTGAGGAAGTAAAAACTTTTGCGTGACTGACATTATTGTGATATTTGTTTTGTGGGGGTGATCTGGAAGGGAACCTGCAATATCTCAAAGATGTGCCTGTATTTCATAGGTGGATGCCCTTCCATTTTTGCTTTTCCAGCCTGTGGAATGTAAAATTGGAAAGTTTTTGTAGTATTTTCTTCTTTCTACCAGAGGGAGAAGAACACCTCATTCTAATTGTCAGGCTTGAATTTGGATCTATTTTGATGATATCTGCTTGTGAATTGCCTCCTTCCTTGCCTCCTTGAAGACACTCCTGTCTGTTCCCTTCATCTCATTGTTGTTGTGACAGGAAGAATGAAGTAGAGTTCTACGTGGCACAGACATTGCATATTCAGAGAATGATAATCAAGAGATTTACTCTCACCACTAATTTTTTCACATGGTCTCCCTTCCAGTTTTCTATGAATCCGATTCATTCCAAATATCCTTTATGACATGTTTAGACGAAGTATAACACACATCCATAAGGACGTGTGCCTCCTTACTGGGTGACCGGCACATTTTGATCAAGTGCTAAGTAGGAAGCTTCAGTCCCCTCAATGTTTGATAAATTATTCCCCACCTTGTGCTCTGGTGGTGAATTGTCTAAAGAATTAACTTAATTTTACATCACATTATACATGTGGCTGGCTCTGCCTTTAGTCTCGGAATGCCTTGAGGACAGAAACTATATTCTATCCACCTTGATTCCACCCAGTGTTTAGGAGAGTGGTTCTGCCACTCGGGACATTCGGCAATGTCTGGAAACATTTTTGGTGTGACAGCCTGGGGAGGAGGGTATGCTAATGGCATCTAGTGGGTAGAGGCCAGGAATATGGGAGACATCCTACATTTCCCACACTGCATAGAGCGGCCCCCCAACAAAGAATTATTTGGCCCAAAAAGTCAATGGTGTTGAGGTTGAGAAAACCTGGTTTAGCATAACATGTAGAGCAGTATCCATGTTAATAAATACTAACTTAATTTTTCCCTAAATAATCTGTTAGTTATGGCAAAAAATGAATCATGTACTATTTTATCTTTACTTTTCACGTATAATTTCATATCATAGAATTCTCATAGTTTTGGAAGAATAACAGGGAAAAATTTTCAATCCTTGAATTAACCTGTGGATAATTACCAGGATGAGTGATGCTGAGTGAGTTTCTTCATTTCATTGCATGTTACTTTCCTTTAGGCTTTTGACCTAGAGTATACACACACGTAAGGCACTTTGCCTTTATATTTAAGAGCCGTTTTTGTTTTATTACATAACTATTTTAAATTTTAGGAGGTTCTGAATTGCTCGACCATTGCATATCAGAGAACTACCACTTGGGAGCCTTATGTTGCTGGTTGTACTACATCATTACAACAGAAGTGATAATTTTTAAAAAAATGAGTTTTTTTTTTTTAATGAATGCATCAACAACATTAAGTAGAATCACAGCTATAGAAAAAATTAGTTATTCATGGTAGAGATGAACGATTGAGTAGCTCTGGCTAATTAACTCGTGGCGAGCCCTTCCCCCAGCCATCTGAAGGTGCCTGATTCCACCATTTGCTTATGATGACTTTGAAAGCCAGGTATACCTGGAAAATGCAAAGGCCATGACTAAGAAGCAAATTGTTGATAGAGTATCTCTTTCTTATTTGACTGTCTCAGAACTAATCGAGAAAGCAGTGACATAAACCAATGTACCCCACCTTCCTATCCCATTGCCTTCATGGTTAAGTCTTGTTAACAGAGGAGTCCTGATCTCATTGAAGAAAAGCATGAATAAGCTAAAACTCAAACTGTCCAAAAATCTATAGGTACATCATTTCTTAAAGTAACTCATTTTTTTTTCTTCTTAAAATGCTAGAGTCTCACCTCATTATCTCTTTTCTTTTTGTGGTGATACAATTTCTTATCGGGATTTTTGCAAATAGCATCATCGTGGTGGTGAATGGCATTGGCGTGATCAAGCAGAGAAAAATGACGCCACTGGGCCTCCTTCTTTCCTGCCTGGCAGTTTCTAGAATTTTTATGCAGTTGTTCATCTTTTTAAATCACATGGATGCTCTCTCCTTGGTAGAAATCCTCATACCTTCTGACGGTTTTGGAATCAGCTCGTTCATAAATCAATCGGAACTTTGGTTTGCCACATGGCTGGGTGTTTTCTACTGTGCCAAGATTGCCAACATTTCTCACCCACTCTTCTTCTGGCTGAAGATGAGGATATCCAAGCTGGTGCCATGGCTGATCCTGGGGTCTCTGCTATATGCATCTACCTCTTGGGTTTTCCACAGCAAATATATATGGCCTATTTCCCAAAACCTCTCAGTAGGCTTTTCCTCCGAAAATATGAGGACTCAAAAGAAAGAAAGTCTTGCTTTGGATTATTTCTTTCTTGTCCTGGGGTTCCCCATTCCATTATTTATCTTCCTTGTTGCTACTCTACTCCTGGTTTTTTCCTTGGGGAGACACACACGGCAGATGAGAAACATGACGGCCGGCACCAGGGACCCTCGCATGAGTGCCCACATCCATGCCGTGCTCTCCATCCTGTCCTTCCTAATCCTCTTCTGCTTCCACTACACGATGGAATTGTTGATCTCTTTTCAAACTCTTCAGTTCAGAAGACTCAACTTTCTGTTCGTCATGTCTGTACTTGGTATGTACCCCTCTATACACTCTACCATCTTAATTTTAGGAAATCCTAAACTAAAACAAAATGCAAAGAAGTTCCTCCTCCACAATAAGTGCTGTCTGTGACAGAGAACTTTGATCGGTTCAATGATTTACCAGTGCCTACCACACCTCCCTCAGCCAAGCAAAGCAGCCTGTTTATAAGTATATAAAACACCATCTTAAGACTGTTTATCCAGCCTGAGGCATTTTTATGGATTTGCTGCTTTTCCAAAGAGTTGAATTGATTTTCAAAGCACAACATGTGTCAGTGGATTACATCAACGTCAATATCCTGGTTGTGATGTTGTATTATAATCTTGCACATTGTTACACATTAGGGAAAACTGAGTAAATAGGATAGGGGTCTTTCGGTATTATTTCTTACAAATGCATGCAAATCTACAATTATTTCAAAATAAAAAGTTGAAACAGAAAAGCACATTGAACTTGTTTGAACTTGTGATGTCAGAAGGACACAAGAATGCCACCAGGTTCCTGTGTGTCTGATGCCTGATCTTAGATGGTTTATCCTGACCTGACTGCTCATCTCTTGTCTACCTGGATATTATTTCTACTGTCTTTGTTGAAGTCACAGACAATGGAGCTATTCTTCCTCCTCAGATCAGAAAGGAAGCTGAGGAAAGGCAGCCCTTCTCTGTCCTTGTAAGCATGTTAGCTTCCTCCATCTTGCAGACAGCCTAGATGCTATGGTGTCATGTCCATCCACTGAAGAAAGGTAGACAGATGGAAGAGGAGGAGGAGGAGGAGGAGGAACAGAAAGAGGAGGAAGAGGAAGGGGCAGTGTGGCTGTGTAGCATCAAGGGCTGAATGCTCCTTTTCCATTTCCCCTAATTGGTTACCCTGAACAGACGATAGCTTGCAAAGATGTTCTTTTCATTTTGCATTTGCATGCTTGACTTTGGGACCCATTCAACTGCAGGTGGCAATTTGGAACTCCTCCCACATGGCGAGTCTTCCCAGTAAAGCAACATCGGTAGGTGGGTGGGGTTGGGGGTGGCTTCATCTGCTTGAAGTCACAAATGCATTTTCTGTTTGGTTGATGATTTTGAATGCTAAGGTATGTATGTATATTTCTAAAACAGCCTCAGAACCCCTTTTGCAAGAAAATAAAGCAAAAGATGGTCTTAAGTTTAGTTATAATTTGTAGTTCAGTTGTGATAATGCAAAGTGTGTTTAGATTTAGATATGCCAATCTCCAGTAATATGGACTCAAATACTGGTTTTCGAGCCCAAGACAGGCAGGCTTGGTTGTCATAAACCAATGGAAGACGTTGCTCCAGAAGATACAGAGCTGTATTTATCTTCTTGGACGTGGGAATTAAGCTCTTCAACTTCCCACAGGTTTCATACTTCATTCCCCAAGGAGCAAAATAACAGCTTCCATCTTCCTGCTATTTCCTTTTCCCACGCCCCACTAGGTGGAAGGGTTTATAGTTGTGTGCTCAGGAAACCAGCTCTGGGAAGAGCAGTTGTGTCCTAGATATAATTATTGCTTCTGCCTGGGGAAGTAACAATGAAGAATCACTTTTATTTTTCGCATATCTCAAATTCAGAGAATACCTGTTTCTTGAATTCATGAGGTGTGCACCTGCAGGTAGATAGAGGCAGGGTTGGAGCAATTTCAAACATTCGTGGAGAAATTTGTCATTATACAACTCTCTTGAGATTTTTTTTTCTCATCCTATTTCATGTAGCTCCTGCTTCAATAGTGCTAGTTAATGAGATGAATATTAAGGTATGACTAAGTTTGTACACTGTCACCAAAAGTTGTAAAAAAAAAAAAAAAGAATGCATAATAAAGCAAACTATTCTAAAACCATTTTCTACTTTCCTAGAAATATATTTCTTCCAGAAATGTTGTCTAGCTAGCATGTTCATGAGCATTGCGTAGGACACTAATTGCTCAATTTTAGAAGCAAAACAGACTGAGCCTTTGTCTCTCTGAAGCTGCCCTTACCTGCACTTGCCAGCCTTGCCAAATTGCTTTTGTCCTCATCTAGCAGTGGGTTGACCTCTGTCGTGGTGCAGCATCCTCCTTTCCCCACCCCTGTACTTTGAGCGATGGCGGGGTGGGCACTGGGGCCCCTGGGAGCCTTGGCTGTGGGATCGCAGGCATGTGGGTCAGGCCAGAGGACTGCTGACCAGGGACATGGTGCTGCACGCCCTTTCTCCACATCCTGTGGCTCCCCGAGAAGATCCAGCACACACAGCTCAGCGAAGGCTGGGTAGAGAGTCTGGGCTGTGCGGCAGACTCTTACTGAAATGGGACCCGGCAGTAATATTCCACTTCAGGTGGAGGTTCGATGAACAGCCCCAAACCAGGAGACAAGCACTGCCTAACTGTGTCCCACTCTCCACTCTGAAGTGGCTCCTTCAGCCCCCAATCCCAGGGGTTGTCTACTCTCTCTAGTGGCTAAAGATGGGACTCCAACTGAGAAGGCTCAATCCATGTGCTGGGAGAAATAGACTTTTAATAATATAAATGTTATAACAATTTGAATATTAAGAAAAAACACAATCTCAAAAGTCTCACAAGTTATAAATGTCTTTTAAATGCTCAATCATTCATTCAAATGTAACCACCACTTGAACATAGAATACTCCGGACCTGAACGTGCTAGGAAGACACTCGGTGTCTGTGGTTGGTCTTCAGGCTAATGAACACCCATCCGAGATACTTCACTCTGTTGCATGTCTAAGTACGGTCATGCTTCTCAGGCTGTGTACATTCTCATTTTAAGCTTTAAAAATTGGGGTTCCACAACTTTTGTCCACACAGAGCTATACTTCTTTGAGTGAGAAAAGAGAAATGTAGTCAGAAATATCCAAGAGAGAAAGAAACTAGCCAGATCATCCAAATTGACTTTGGCAACCTCTGGGATGACAGATGTTACAGACAGATGGCAGCAATATTGGAGAAAAATCCAAATGACCAGGGCAAGGAGAACCACATGTTTTAAAGAGAGTCTTGCTAGCGAATGAGTTTGGAGTTAGGATAGGCATTGTACTAACATAAACTTAAGATCAGTGGTGTATACCTTTTTTATTATTTACTACTAAATAATTGTAGACTCTTGTAAGAAACTTCTATGCCAGGGAAAGTTGTAGGTACTAGGAAAATCTCCTCAATGAGCTAGAAATATTAAGCTTTGGGGGAGAAGCAATGTAAATTTAAGATAACTTGTGGGTATTTGTTTCACTGCTATCTTTCTAAACAAAACTAGCATCTCTCTTTCTCCTTGATATATTAGACTACCTGATACTATCCATACTTTTGCAGGATTAAACAATGATTGTTTTTAATATGTGATATAAACATTTGAATTCATAACTGTGCCATCTGGATCTACTTAATATTTTACTGAGGATCAGGAGTGGGCAATTTTATCCTAAAATTTAAAACATATCAATGAATTGTGGGTTAGCTTTCAACATAACATCAAATCAAATATCTACTTACATCCCTGAAGACATATCCATTTTTTAAATGACTGAAGATTCATTTTGTTTAAACTTCAACAATCCTGATAAAAAGATACCTTGTAACTCTGTTTCTACTTTTGAGGTTGGGATGTATGTTCTTAAGAGGGAGCATTAGCTTCCATTAATTAAACTCTTCTTCCTATGGATTTGTGTAAGTAACACAACATAGGCATACACATGTTTACCGGGTAGTATTTGAATTTGGGAGCACACAGGGACAACGTCCTTTAACTAGATAGGACTCTGTGCTTGGTGAGCACCCATGAATGACCCAAATTCCAGAACTGCTGAGAAAAGTTCAGATTCCTCGGAATATGGGCAGGTGAAAAAGGGTGTAGAAAATAAATAAGTGGCTAACAATGGGCTAGGAACTTATAGTACTAAATATATGGAATGTCCTTTGGCCATAAGCCCACTCATTTGCACAGCAGATGCTGCACTTGTGATTGTAAATGAGTAAGTGTTACTTCACTTGAAACCTAGTCCATTGGCTTCTAGAAACATTGACCAGATATAGTACTTGGTCTGGAAGCTCAGTTTCATGATTAATATCTCCAAAATAATCACTGCTGCTCCTCTGCTAAAATACTCGAAATTCTTGAACTAAGCGTTTGTGCCTTTGATCATGAGGCGTGATGCTCTTGGCCACACTGGTTGATGATAGGTCTGGAGAATTGCTCTGTGGGATCAGAGAGGGAATCTTGCGCATAGCATTTCAGAATGGGAGGTACTGTAGAAACGTAGGTCATTACGCCACGGGCAAGCCCTGTGCTCACAAAGCCTTGTCTCAGCTCTCCTCACTAGACCTGCACCTGCTTATTTTGGCGACTTCAGCAGCTTTTGTGCAATGCAGTGAGCACTGCAATGAGCTGAGCCTCAGTTTCTTGATCTGTACGTGGGGGTTAAGAATGATACACACCACACACTTGGCAAAGCTTCTCCATAATTGTGAGCACAAATGAATGTAACCTCCAGCTACATTCATTGGAGCGTGTGATAATAGTAAGTACTGTCACAGGTAATCCCAGCAGCCCCTCTGGAGGGAGGAGAGTGCCCAGGAAGGGACATGTTGAACAATGGAGGGTCTTAAGTAAGAGGCTGATTTGGTATCTAGATCCAGCACTAACGAGCTGAGTGACTTGAGGAGCCCAAGCCTCACATCTCCTCATCTTTGAAATGGGGATACGGATAATTCCAAGCTTAATGAGAGGCATTGAGCGGCTAGTGGAACCAAGTCCTTAGAACAATACCTGGCTGGCACCATTGCTTTTTCAGTTGTGTTAACCACGTGAAACTGCCGAACTTTGATGACCTTTGATCTGCAGCAATGACAGTTTTGTATGATTCCCCCTAATCAATCAACCAATCAGTCACAGGTTTGGGAGGACAGCTAATTCTAGAAAAGAAAACAGCGTATGTAAAGGTATCTGGCAAAGAAAAGATGAAAAAAAAAAACAAAGAATTGTGCAAAAATGAAGGGAGGAGCGGTGAAAGGAAGAACAGAGGATGTATCGAGCGGCTGCGCTGCAGCAATAACTGCCAATGCTGCAATGCCTCGGACCCGGTTCCTTCTCACGCTG